AAGTGCAGACACTTCTAATTGATTCCAGAAGTTTTTCTTTTGCTAAGATCAGCGGGCAGAAGAAGAATAATGAGCAGCTTTTAAGCAGAGGGGGGAGGGTGCTGAGCTTGGGGAGTGGAGATTTTAAAAGCTCCAGCTTGGCTGCTCTGCCAGAAATGCAGAGCAATTTTACGGTCAATTGGCCAGAGCATCTGGAACTATACATCATAGTCTTTAGTTGATGGTGGTGAAGCTGACTCTCAAACTGTCTAAGCCTAAAATCAGTAATGACTCTGCTGTCACACCTAAGTGGAAACTAACTTAATCTACTGCCAGATTTTACCGTGTCTTTTTTTAAGGGACATTATTCCCCTTAGGGCAGTTGTCAAGAATATTAAAAGTCCAGTCTCGGGGATACACTGCATGGCATATCAGATTTTTTCTGAATGAAGCTAACATAGAAAATACAGATTACAAGTTTTGTTTGTTTAATTCCATGCATGCTGACAAGGCGTTTTATCATAAGGCAGTCGCGTTTCCTTCTATCCCCAGCTTCATTTCTAAAAATACATTTAAAATACACCAGCAGATCTAGTTAAGGCACAGAGACTGCATAAATGATGAGGTCATAAATCACAGTGCAGGGCATGGAGCTTTCACCTTAATGGAAACCAAATATGCGATATGTTGCTCCTTGAAAAGTGGCACAGATGATCATAACAAGGACCAAGGAAAAATGTTCCAGAGCAGAAAACTATCAACTATGTGGAAATAAGTTCTTATGAGTAAATGTTTGTTTTACGTCAGAACTCATAAGTCAGTATTCTAATGCTGGTAAATTACACTAAGAAACAAGTGAGGTAACAGCAAGCCGTTGTATGATGAAAGCAGAAATAAGTAGTGCGGTAATATATCACATTAAGAGGGACTGCTGTGGGACACAGAATACAGTGCAAATCAGTTCTTTAATAAAGGGATATTATATATTTTATCCAGACAAATTAGCTGACACACTCATAAGAAATACTAGAATTTCATCAAAGATCAGAGAAGCAGCCCATTTGGCACAGAGTACTGTCACCAAAAGTGTTCAGAACAGCTCCATTTACCAAGTTTAGATACTCTGGAGGAGTAAACAAACAATTTGACCACAACCAAGTTCATTTCTGCATTCATTAGTTATGGGCTGAATTATACCCTGCAGCACAAGATTCTATATTTCTTCCAAACCTGGTTACATTTCTAATGCACTGCATGCCCACATAAAACAGAAAATAAGTTATGAATTTAAAATATCACACATGTATACAACCTTTTTCCCTCTTTTCCCCAATGAAATTTTTCCTAGATTTTTTTCCTTCAGACCTGTAAATTAATACATGACTGCCAGTGCACACCATGAAGGCACCCCATGAAGTTGCAGCGCAAGAGGAGTGTGGGTGAGATTTACTAGCAGATACACCGCCTTAGCAGAAACAAAGATAAACAAGCCCATCAAGACAGACATCTGCATTACCTCCTCCAGCTTCCTCACTTCTAGCCCCTTAGCTTGAAAGTCTTTCTCAGTACTGAGTTGCAGCCACTACAAGAGAAGTTGGTGAAAATACTTAAAACCAGTTCCAACAACATGTCCATGTCTCTCATTTCTACTTGCTCCTCATTAGTACTGCTGTCAAATAGCAGCCAGTGCTTGACCAAAATCAGCTCATGGAATATGTTGGCCGATGCCAAACCATAGCATTTGGATGGAAACACTTTGAAGAGGTGCACCATCATCACAGATTTATTTTTGCATATCGTGCTTGCTGAACTGTCACATAACTGAACACACAAGCAATGTTTTCTGCTTCCTCCAGGTGGTTAGGAGACTCCAGGCGGTTGGGAGACTCCAGGCCCAGTCTGACAGAAAATGATTTGGCTTTAGTAATAAACATGATCATCACATTACACAGGCATGAAGTAATCAGCATAAAGAAAACTAACTAGGATGAGGTAGCAGAGATCCTCAAGCAGAAACACGTAAGTTTCTCAGTTTCCTGTCTATCTATAACCAGTCAAATGTATCTCTACCCCCTATCATAAAGGTTTTCAGTGACCTCCACTCAAGAAACAATTTTTTAAGATCTAAAAATTTCCTTAAACATCACTTTTTTCTTAAAAAAAAACCAAACAAACAAAAAAAAAAACAAAAAACAAGCCTGCTACTTTCACCTAACCATCCATATGAAATACCACACAAGGAACAGAAAATGAGAATATGCATTGCTCCACCTCCCATGAGAATTAAAGAGGTCACTTTTCTAATCCCGAAAATATCAAATTATTGTCTTGTTTGAAGAAGGAAAGGACACCAGGAGAGACCCCCAGAAGTAAATCTTGGAACAACTTAAAATATAATAGCAGGGAGAACAATATCTTTATATAATCAGAAAAAAAAAAACAACACAAATTTCCTATGTAACCAAGGCAGGTAAACACAAATTCAAAGTATCAATAGATCCAATACTGTATTTAGTAGACCTGACACAGCGAACCATATTGCACCTTCAGCAAAAACAGAAGTCCATTCTCACACACCTCTAGCTTCATTTTTCTTCCACCTTGCCTGAGCCTCAATTAGCAACGTTTCTTGCTCCACAGCAAGTTGCATCACTTCACTAAAGAAAAAATTCTCAGCTGCCTAAGCCAGACCTGCTGGCTAACACAATTAGCTGGGCAGTGAGTGTAAGAGAGGGGCAAGTTACTCCTGTTTCTTGTCAAAAATGGACTACCTAGTCAGTTTCAAATAAGGGACTAAAAAAAATAGAGAAGTATAATATAAAGGACTGACAGGTTGGACAGGGCCCTGAGGAACTTGGTCTAGTGGAAGGTGTCCCTGCCCATGGCCAGGCAGTTGGAACTAGATGATCTTCAGGTCCTTTCTAACCCTAACCATGCTATGATTCTGTGATGAAAGGAAAAACATTAGACAAAAAAAGAGGATAGAAAAGTACAGTAGGGAAGAACTCAAGATTGCAATAAAGTTAAAATTTTAATGTCAGATACATGTAAAGAACAGAACAAGAACCTTTTCATGTTGCTTTACTCTTGAAAGAATAGGAAGCTGTATAGTTCTCTACAAACAACAGAAACAACAATCTGATAATTTTACTAATTTCTTAGTAAGAGACACTTTCACATATGCACACACACACATCATCAAGGCTGGTACATTAATTCTTTTTTTTTTTAATTCAGCATGTATATTTTGACATATTATTCTCCCCAAAACCAGTTAGAATAGCCAAATAATTTAAGTCTGAGAGCTCTCTCTCAAGGGCTACAGAATTAATTGCCAAATTTTAGAATTCTTTGCTTCAAGCCTAATGACTGTAGTAGGCTACTCAGTAAATAATAAAAACATTTTCCAAGTGATATTTAAGCAAGCAAAATGCTTAAAATGTCTGCTGAGTTCTGGCATACTCTTATCAAAGGAATTCAAGAACTGTTTGATTTATATACCAGAACTTTGACAATGTAATAATATGGTGAAAAAAAAAAAGCAATCCAATCCTTAATTAATAGTATTTATCTAGCTTTAAATATTGTCTGGTAGTTGTTTCTTATCCAAAGTAAAATGACAAAAACCAAAACAAAAAAAAATAAACCCCAAACAAAACCCCACAGCAGCATAAGCTATTTTTCCATTCTCCTATTGCCTGAACTCTTAGAAAAGCAGGAGAATCAGCCCTACTACTAGAAACCTCAAATTAGAAAAGTTGCTGTGAATTTTGCAGATGTTTCAAGTCAAAGAAACCATTTTGAACTTGGTTTGAATCTCAGTCCCTACTGGTTTATTTCATTCTTTTCTGGTTTTAAGCCAAAACGTAACTTTCTGACAACAGTTCTACTAGTCTAGTAACTCATTCACAACCCTGCTGATAACTGTCTTTGCTGGTAACCAGAACTGAGTAGCTTGGGATTGTTATTCAAACCAGAACCATATTAATCACTCAGTGTTATTTAATTCAGATAATATTAATAGAGTTATTATGAAATACCAACTGTAATGAAAAATAAGAAAAAGGTAGATGTGCTGGTTTCGTCTGTGGTGGAGTTAATTTTCTTCCTAGTAGTTCATGTGGGGCTATGTTTTTGATTTGTGCCAAAAACAGTGCTGATAACATGGGGATGTTTTAGTGACTGCTGAGCAGTGCTTATACAGAGCCAAGGCTTTTCCTGCTCCCCACACGTCCCCGCCAGCGAGCAGTCTGGAGGTGCAGGAGAAGTTGGGAGGGTACACAGCCAGGACAGCTGACCCCAGACCCCAAATGACCAAAGGAATGTCCAATACCATATGATGTCATGTTCAGCATATAAAGCTGGAGGAAGAAGGAAGGGTTTGGGGGGATGTTTGCAGTGATGGCGTTTGTCTTCCCAAGTCACTATTACATGTAATGGAGCCCTGCTCTCCCGGAGATGGCTGAACACCTGCCTGACCATGGGACGTGGTGAATTAATTCCTTGTTTTGCTTTGCTTGTACACACAGCTTTTGCTTTACACGTTAAACTGCCTTTATCTCGACCCATATTTTTTCACTTTTACCCTTCCAGTTCTCTCCCCCATCCCATCATGAGTGGACTGAGTGAGTGGCTGTGTAGCGCTTAATTGCCAGCTGGGGTTAAATCACAACAGTAGGTTAAAAATCAAGTCACAAACAAGATAAAAATAAATCCTAAGAACACAAAAGCAATCATATTTAATCAGACCAAAGGTCTATTTAGTCCAGTATCCTATGGTTGTCAGTGGCCTCAGTTTGTACTGAGGTACAGTAGAAGTACAGAACAAAATACTTGATATTTATGACTATCCAGCTTCCAAGCATTAATATTTTTATTTCATTCTTATTAATAGAATCATTAATCATTATAATTAAATATAATAATAATATGCAGAAGCAAAATATTAATGCTTCAGCTTTTCCTAAAATGGTAAAAAGTCTAGAGTCATCAGCATAGACACTTCATAATAAATGTTTTACCTCATATGCATAGCCCAAGGAAGAAAACTGACTCCTGAAGTAGTCAAGTTTGTACGCACCCATGAAGACTAAACAGCAAAGGATTTCCAAAATTCCTGCTTTAGGCCTAGAAATGGGAAGTTCTTCAGATTAACATCCAACCTTTTATTCTTTGATAACTTGAATGAAAAAGAGAGTGTAGAAATAATCTGATGTCCTGCACTTATACTAAGTTGTCTTTCTTAACCTTATAGTTAAGTTTTTATAGTATACACCTTACATGGACTTGTAAAACTGAATTTGCTGCGAGTGAGAATACTCACACACATATAGCTATTGTCTTTTGACAATACTGAACACTGCTACATAAATAGTCCAGAATCTTTTCAGAAGTGTATTTCTGTAAAGTTTTACTAATTCACATTCTTAGTTCCCTAAGCTATACACATCCTTATTATTTTGATAGATTTTTACCTATCCTGAAAGAAACTGTTTAATTCATATAAGTGAAAGGTATTCCCTTCTGAAAACATAATGACCAGCACATGCAAAGAAGAACTGGTACCTCAATCTCAAAGGAAGCTTCTATTCCACACTTCCGCTTTGGCAGGGCAAATAGCTTCTTTGTAAGAAAATGTAGCTGATATTTACTCTTCTGTAGGGTCATACTGCCTGTATGGACTACATCCATACTGTACACCTCACTGGGCAGGTATATTCAAGATCCAATTTGATTTGAATCTCTACTGATTAAATTTAGTCTTAGCAGCATTCTTCACGTGATTTTGAGTCTACTCTGAGCTACACTGTGTGCTTTTCACATACCACCACTGTATCTGGCACCTACAGCATGTGACACAGACCTGACACAATATGGTTGCAGTGTGAGCTTGAGCAGCCCTGGGACAGCCTGCAGGTCTTACGGGCCTGCTAGTCCCGAAGCCAGAGATGTGAACCCAACAAATACAAGAACAGACGTGAGTAGCCCATCCCTAACTTTTCTGCAAGCGACAATAGATAAATTGGTAATTGGTATGGGGACACTCCTAGGTTTAGGTGCTGGCTAGCTATATGCTGTTTTCTAGTCAATAGGCAGCAACATATATGCTTGATTCTAGCTATATTTATCTTTGTATCTTACCTGTTCTCCATAGGTAGTCCCAAACAGGCCAGGGAAAGAATGATAAAGCCAATTCTCAGGAGAACAGTTCCCTATGATAATATCTGTTAAAAAGTACACAAAGAATTCATTTAGAGAAACTTTCTGATGAGAAATTCAGCTTTAACAGAACAGTAGCTTCAGCTTCCTCAGTCAGTGATGTTAGTGTCTGCTTTTAAAGACATCTGTTACTCTAAATTTTGCAACCAAAATACCTGCTCTGCATAGCACACTTACCTGGAGTGCTACATTCAGCTGGTTCCTGAATGCTGTATTTCTAAAATAATGATTAAGATACTCCCTTCTGCAGTATGTGTTTTCCCCAAATTACTTGATTCTCTTTATGCCTTTACTCAAGAGGGAATAAACATATTTCTAGATAAAAATCCCAGCAGCCCTCATCGTTTTCTTCATTTTGTTACCAGGTCTTTAAAACAGTCATCTATAAATCCCAGTGGATACCAAAACAAAACACTGGTGAGAGTAAAAATTCATATGACATGACAATATGACAATAGTTAAGAAGAAACAAAATTAATGTTGTCCCTTTATGACAACTTGACACTTGGTTCCGATTCAGCAAAATGCTTCAACTCATATAATTACCTTCAATCGGACTTAAAATATTTTCAAACATTAATAAGTGTATTAGTACTTGGATGAGGACTTAAAACTTAAATCTAAATGATATAAACAAAACTCAGGAAAACAGATATTATTTTCATTGTGAAGTTTGATTTTTTTCTTTTCCTTTATTAAATGTTTATGTATTCTACACAGCTGCCCTTGAAAATCAAATATTTAACCAGTTTTCTTGTTCCCTCCCTGACTTCCTTTCAAATATTAGTTTTGAAAAGCCTTTGTTTCTTCATTTAAAAAACAACAAAAAAGCCCAAAACAAAAGTAGTGGATCTGGCTGAGTTACAGGAATCCTTTTGGGCTTCAATAGCAATAAGGTTTATGAATAGCATCTTGCTCTTCAAGACTATAGGCTCTGGAAAAATAAAAATCTAGGCATGCCTGCCCTGATTTCAATAAATCTCACTCGGTTAAATGCCCACCTTCCTTTGGTGGTGGCCCCTACCCCTCAAAGAGATCTAAAGTATCTGTGAGCGTGGGAGGCCACAAGAGGATATTCTCAAATTTTACAGCTGCGTGAACTTACAGTGCCCATGTTTGTAAAACACATCAAACCACACACTCAGTTGGGGCAGGTTTCTGTTGTTTTACTGAAGAATCACAAGCACCTACTTAGATATCCTTAAGAAGCAGTTATTGAAAAACAAAATTCCACAATCCCAGCAATATGCAAGCTAAACAGCAGCCCACCAGTTTACAAGCCAGAACACACTTCTCACAAACAACACCTGTCAAACCACTCTGTTGCACAGGTTTATACCAGGATATATCAAGATCATTACTGCATTGCTATGTTTCCCATCTGTTTCATCGCTCCTCATGATAAACTGGCAAAACCTCAGATAGATGATTACCACCATCTACCTACATGTAGACCTTGAGAAAGGATATTTTTATGCTTTTCTTATGATCATAGCCTGGGCATACGCTATTGGCGCATCACTGGAGAAAGGATATGCAGCTAGACATTGAACCTGGGAGGGACTCAGTATAGCAGTTATGCGCTGAGATTCTCACTTAAGTCAACTGGGCTTATAATCCTTTATCAAGGTTTGTATCACTTGGAATAAGTCTGCGAATTCCATACAGAATTTTTAAATTTTTTTAACAAAAGTTTAAATTGAAGGTGCTTCTTTTTGAAAACTTCTGTATCTAGAATCTGAAAATCCCACTGATGTTCTAAGTTTAGAAGGCTTTGCATTATTAACATGAAGCAATTTGTTCTGAAGTGACAAAATTTTTGGAGAGATTTTTTTATAAAAATCAGGCACAGACTCCAGTTAAGTTTAATAAAATTAGTAGTTGTTAAACTGCTCATCTAATCACAGTAAATTCAACCACCACTTCAGCTTCCTGTAGAAACTGGGTCAGACAAAAAAATCAAGAAGTACATGAAGAGGAGCATGATTTGCCACAGGTGTAAAGGAATTCATCCATGAATTTCTTAAAAAATGTTTTGATATGTTTTTCAATGATTGTTACTTGTCAAATAAAGAATTCTGTCAGGGAACTAGGGCTGGAATTCAAGACTTTTCCTCTTAGAGACTATCCTCATCTTTAAGTTGGAGAATTATACCTTTTCTAAAACATAGTCCTTCTGGCCAGGTTTGTCTGATTTTGATTTGCTCCCAGTGCAATGCACTGCCTTCTAGAGGCTGCCTTAAAAATGTTTACACACTGGTAGGGCGCTATTCCGAGAAAAGGAACATAAGGTTTTGTATCTCCTTTAGGAAGGAAAGACAACTGAGCTTCAAATCCAGATTTCAAGCAAGTCACAATACAACATATGGCTAAAACTACACTTTATGGAAAATGAATGAACCTGCAATGGTTTTGAGACAACAAATGTTAGTATGTGTCTTCAGGAAGAACCCAGCAGTACCCGCTATGAATGCGTATGGATGTCTCCAATTTCTAATTCAAACGAGCTCTATTATTTCACATTCTTCTGCCCTCCCAGTGTTTCCAAACTGGCTAGCATTAGACAATCAGTTACCGAGTCCTAGATAGCTGTGTTTTCTTGTGTTCCAGTTTCAGAAAACTCAGATGCTGATTCATTATACCTTACATTAAGTACGTTTACTGAAGTGCCTAAAAAACTGTTATTAACCTAGGCTTTCTCTGTAATCAGTGGAGAGAGAGCACCTTCTGAATGATTATATTTCTTGTCACTCACTAGACTGCAAATCTAGAGTCTAAATTTTGTCCCTGCACCAAGAGTTGGATTTGAGTGGATGATGGAAACACTTCACCAAAGCAGGCACTTTGGGGTCATATTTAAGAAGTTTCTTTCATAACTTCTGTAATTAATTTTTTCTTTCTTTCTTTGCTTAAAGATATATTTCAATTGCTATTTCTAGAAGAGTAGGAAAAATTATCTTAAAGTTAACATTTTCAGGAAACAATAGCAATTTTTAGCATTATCATTCTATTATATTGTTACTGATTGACCCTGAAATACGATAAGTTTGACATTAGAGACACTAATATTGTAATTCAGATTGCAGCTTTTTCTCCACAAAGAAAGGACTGAATACAAGAATTTGGAGTGTGATCCTGCAAAATTATCTTCATCATTTTCTCTAAGATGTGCAAAATTGGAGGCTGGACTTGTCATTTGACTCTCCACATTTATCTAACCACAGAAGAAAAAAGCGTAGATTAAGAACTTGAAAGGAAATTAATAAATTGCAGTTCAGTTTAAAACATGGATTTCCAGGAGGAAAAAAAAAAAAAAGAAAGAAAATAGAAATACATTTTAATTTATGTTAGTAAATCAGAACTAAAGTAACTTTTTTGGCATAATAACTACCTGAGCCATGCACAATCATATTTTACAGATTCCGTTTTTTAGGTCAATTTGCATTTCGTTTCAGATGCTCTCCTACTTGAACCATAACACTTTCAACACCAGCTGTCTGTAAAACCTCATATGGTCCAGTGCCACCTGTAGCTCAGAATGTGAAGGACTGGAGGACCCTAAAGAACAACCCACAGATTACAGTTAATTGCAGAGTTAACTGGCACTATCATCACATTCACACAGATACATGGCACTGTAATGGCTGAGTACAGTGTTGCAGCCTTCCACTCCCCAAGTCTTCAGCTTTCTGGAGTGATGAAAGGTGAGACATAAAGCCTTAGTGGGAACCATGAAGGCATAACTTACCCTTCACTGTAGATACATGCACCAATTTCACTGTAGATACATGCACCACTTTCATATACAGCAAAAAAATGTGTTCCTTCATTTGTGCTCCTAGTCAAGGACTACCAAGAATTTTGTGGTGAAATACGTCATGATGCCATTTGGGAATAACAGCTTTTAGAAAACCAGCCACGTAGCATAACTTTTAGCATTATTCGTTTGCTTCCATAACTTTCTCTTTACAGCTCTAGTGGTATAGTTACATGCTGCTTGATTCTTTTATTTACTTTCAAACATGTATCACCCTATGAAGTGGATACTGGCAGCCGAAGCATCCATTTTCTAGACATTACTCTACCAAAATCAACAAAATACTCAGTGGGTTATATCACTAAAGTAAACATCATGTATTAAATCTACACACTGCAATTTGCAGTGTGAAAAGAATGTGTCTTTTACACATTTGTTAGTGCCAGCATCCTCATTCCACTTAAACATAATATGCATGGATGTATATATAAAATAAATTAGTATTTATATACTGGAGTATTTGTATAAACAGAGAAGCCTGTGTGACCACAGCAGGTTCCCCAGTCACAAGTCAGCCACAACTTTGCAATGTGGTTATTGGCTGCAATTAAACAGAAAAAAATATTTCTGTTGGATTTTGATTTCGTTGAAAGCTTTAAAAATATCTCAGAGCCTTTATAAAAGGGGCAGGAGGGTGTGTTATAGAATTTGAGAAGTTTACATGCTTTTGTAATCAACAGAATGCCATTAGCATTATTATTTTATGTTTTTTTCGAAATAAAAAATAATTCATTTAAATGAAGGAAATGTGTTATTCCAAATGTGTATTTAGATGAACATTGAAATATTCCAATTTGACTTTAATATTTCAAAGAACTCAGATTGATTTATTCCTTTTGAAGAATAACATGGATGCTTTTTCTCATCCTGATGAATTCAGTGTTTCAAAAGAACTGCTAGGAACGATGTCAGCACGTTTCATGAGTTAATAGATGCCCTGCTGTCATACATCAGACACTTTCAACATTCAAATGAATTATGCTAATACAACTCTATGAAAATGGTAACATTAGGTGTCTTACTATGAATTTATTTTAACTCAGAATTACTAAAAAAACTTAGCAATATTCCATATATAGTACTTGGTTATGTCCTACTGAATGGATATACTATTTGTGTTCTCAGATTTTGAGATCTTATCCCTTACTACTTTTCCTTTAACTGAAACTGCTCACATATTCATAGCATTATGAGCACAATAAATGCTACAGTATCTATCTAAAGCTAAAAAAGACACTGCAAAATGTGTTTAAGGTACATTTCACTTTGATTTATGTGATACATGCAGTTCTGGATCTATGAGACTTTCGCTTTGAATGTTCTGCAGTCTTACACTCCTAGCACTCTCTCTGGGACTGATCCAAATCCCATTTCTTCAAGGAGCTTTGGATCAGATATAGATGTGCAGAGCTCAGAAGTAATTTTATTCTCTGGATGCAGTGCAGAGCACTATATATAAAATAAACACTGCATGCTTTCTCCTGTGGAAAATATATATTTGTTCTTTATTGTTTTGCTCTTTTTATAAGTTAAATGTAGGTCAGTCAGACAGACGGTATATGGTTGCTCTTTACAGATAGAGAAATTTAACACTTCTACAGGGCGTGAGACCAAACACTGAGCAACTGTAATCACTTGAGAAATGTAATAGCTGTGTGCTGTGTCTTATGGCTATTATGAAATGGAACTTATACCTAGAAATGAGGAAAACAGTTAGCTGCCTCCATTTATGGAGCTATGCCACAGTTATGACATAATTCATAGCCAGAAAGAAAGTTCCAGTTGTATCCATAGACATTTCATAACTCAGTGTAGTGGAAAACTGATATTGAAGAAAGATTTTGCCAAGTAAAGTTATTCATACACAGGCTTCCTTCTCATGACAGCTTCCCACTGTACTGCAGAGCGATGCTGGAACTCTGCCTTGGGACCAGCACTTTCTACACCCACGCTGAAGGTTTATGTCCTGAGATGAGGTGCTTCTAGGCGCCTGTGCTCTCCTCCTTCTTTTCTTCTCCTTACTACCTGTAATGCGTGTAATACATGGTACTTTTGTGCAGAGAATTTTCTAGCTGGTCTCTGTGATAAGTTCATAAATGGTGGATCTTCAGGATATTTCCTCCAGGACTGCAAGAATTTAGTGATCATCTGGGCTTGGGTGCATTTTTCAACTTCCCTTATTACTTAAACAGCTGCAGTTATCAGAAGAGAAAATAATATGGACCATTCGTTTTTCCTTCCAGAACCAGAAAATGGCAATAAGAGAAAAGAATAAAATAGGAAAAAAATCACGAGCAGACTCTTTACTTCCCACTGCTAAAAGCAACAGCAACGAAGTAAAAAAAGACAAAACAAAAAAAAACCCAACTGAACAAAACCCCTACAGTTTGATCCCTATGCAAAAATGATTTGCTTCTGGTATGTAGGAATCTAGAATCATATCTGGAAATCTTGCAGAGGCATTTCTCAATATAAGAACATTGCCAATCATGCATACTGTATATCTTGTATACATTGGAGGTATTTATCCTTACCTTTGGCTTAATTTCCTGTCTTCAAAACCAGTCAGAATAGACTAAGCCTCAGACAGTTTAGTAATCGAATTCCCTGCAGTTGCAGCACAACCCTTTATAGGGGTGAACACGATGTGTAGAATAACTTTGTATTAATCAGAAGAGTATGCCTGAGGTAGCTTTTATATTATATTGGGAATGCTATGTAAAACACTCTTTAAACTTTTCTTGAAAATCGCATCATACTATTGGTCTGATGTGCTACTCGCACTACATCTAACAAAAAAGTGGGGCGGGGGGGGGGAAACAGGGCTATAGCAGCTATATGCAGAGCTGCCAGAGCTGCTATAAACCTGCTGCCTCCTATCCCAAGAAATTATTGCAGGCACAGACCCTCTCCTGTCCTTGTCACTCTGGAATACAGGAGGAATATCTCAGATGGAAGACCAAAACGTCAATGTTCAGACAAGAATTCTGACAGCTTTGATATGGCTTTGCAATCTTCTGGAATCCTTCATGGATGACCACGGCCAGTTATGTGAAGAAGACTTATTTCTAGAAATCTGCCTCTTGGCTGGATCCAGTCATGTTGGTCATGGGCAAAGCCACTGGAGTGCAGTGTGAGGGGCTGCTCCCCAGGGAAGGGGCATGGGGCTAGTGGCAGCCAGGGGACAAGGGCCATGGCAGGAAGGGTGCTGTCCTGTACTGTCCATCGAGGTGGGCAGTGGACAGTAACCACTGTTAGCTCAGGGTCGGAGATCATCAGGTGAGTGTGCTGGGACAAAGCAGCTTTGAAGGCAAGCAGAGACTGAAGAACCCAGGGAGCCCCTGGCACCCTGTGGCAACATGGCTGACACAAATACAAGGCTTTAACCAAAGCGGTCTTAGAAAGGGCTTAAGAAGGCCAAAGGGCATTTTATCCATGTGATAGAATTTTGTCTTGTTTTGGTAGGTTTGATTTGTGGGAATATTAAATGTATTTAAAATTATGTTTCATAACTAGAAGATCTTAGCTTTCTTAAAGAACGAAGAGCAGTGAAGGGTGGAAGAATGAAAAGGAGGTTGGAAGGCTGAAGCCATGGTAGCAGTTAATGTGCTGCTTCTTGAAGGCAGAAGTGGCCTCATAGTTCACCTTCACAGACTGTCAGGTATCAATGGAGGAACTATATCTTATTACAAGGGAGATCTTATCAGCCCAAATGCAAGGTGGTAAATATGTACCTCCCCCTGCTCTATTTCTATCAATGCTGTTCTATGTTCAAAACTGGAAAAAGGATTTGCCCTGAGTCTGTGCTCCTCCAATTTTGAACTCCAGTTTTGAACCAAGCTCTCCATCTTCAACCATGACAAAACCTTTGCAATCTTCCTTCTGAAGCGTGGGCAATTAACAATATGAACAACCTTGACATCTTAAAATCTACATAGTTTCACGTCCGAGGTACATTTTTCCTCTCATGAGGTCCTAAAAATTGAAGTTCACACATATATCTTCTATGAAACATATGTTATTTTTTTTTGTTTAATTGCTTAACTTAAGCATATTCATCTATAATTAATTGAAATGGTTACTAAATAATGTTTAATAAATAACATAAAACATTATATATTTATTATGGTGTATTTATCCATTTACGTTGATTCTTTTTACAGAATCTAGTTTTTATTATAATAGTTTAAATAAGATATGAGTCAGGCTGTAGAGCATCTACTCAATGCTTCATTACTTAAACATGTTGTGCGTGATATAACTGTCAGCATGAGATGCTCTCTTATAACAACAGAGATTACTTACAGTCGCAGCAGCAAGAAGTTCAGTATATAAGTCCATTGTTACAGCAAAATGTACAACTGCATAGCAATCAAGATAAACTGGTACACTTGTATTGAAGGGAACTTCTTTTCCAGTGATCTGTATGAAGCAAAACAGACAATAGCTTTTGACAATGACCTGCTCCAGCCTGTTATTTCTTAGTATTCTTTATACTTACAAACACAAAAAAGGTTAAGGGACATAGATAATTGCACAAAGGTAATCCACTATCAGATTTATGTACTACTTAGTGTGAGACAGAGTTTAATGCTCTGTGTGTGTGTGTTAACAGCTAAAAGAAAAAGTACTGTACACTACAGAACAGTTTTGAAATCTCTTCAGGAAATGAATAATGAAAAGATAAGTAAAAAATTATTTTTTTCCCTTCAAATAAAAACACACAGGTAAACCATTCATTTCCTTCAGTTTCTGTTCCCATTTCATCTTCCCCCATGCTTTATGACGGCTAACTTGCTAATTTCAAATAGCATGTGTAGAGTTTTTAATATTGATCCAGTAGCATTAAGAGGTCCAAGCAAATTACACAAAGCCGAAAGCCTGTGCATGTTCTATTTATCACTGGGATTTCCTCAGGAAGGCCAGGTCTAGGTTTGCCTGGTCCCCAGCCTGGCCCTTTGAATAGGACAGAAAGCTTATTGCAGAATCCAGGTGTGGCCCAAAATGTGTTCCAAATATGAGCCAAGGGATGTAACTGAAAAAAAGAGCATGTAATGTTTCATTGTTGGTAAAATAAAATTTAATAAAACATTATGCTTTATTATTTACTTGAAAGTTAAAAATGAATTTTTGAGTCTGTAGAGAGAATAAATTAGGAGTAGATGAAGACAGTCAGAAGTTCAGAAACCCTGACAAAAATAGGTAGGAGCCATATCAAGTCCTTGGTTTATAGTGAGGATTACAATGACTCCAGCTCAGAGGAAAATCTGTCTCTCCTGTAATTAATCCAGTGTATTCAACAGTTTATTGTATAGCTATATTTATGGTAGTTTTAACTTAGAATTTGGTTATGGGGACCTTGACATGACATATTCTCAATAACAAAATTACTTAATATCTGACTGTAATGGATATAACTGCACAGACTCTGGCCATCCTTCCAGCTTCCAGCCCAGACACACCTTCAGGTAGAATTTCTCATTCTTTGAGATACCTTCTGGGCTGAACAGTCATGAAAAGCAAGTGGTTACTTCAATACTACTCAGTCCCTGAGGTTTTTACAGAAAATTTTAATCCACCTTAAGTGAAGCCTGGACCAATAAATCTGAGGAGCACCACACTAAGGTTTTTTTTGGGCTTTTTTGTTTGTTTGTTGGCTTTTTTTTAATTAAAAACCTATATTCAACCTATTCTGCAGGTTTTGCTGATATCATGATGGTTGCTATACAATGCTGTCAACAAAAACATTCTGGGGTACTCTGAGCAGCAAGTAAGCAGAAGAGATAAAAATAGTAAAGGTATTGCAACATGCAGTTATTTATGAAATAGCAATATTTAGAGAAGACAAACAACAGGTTAAACATATATTTTTGTCTTTGCTTCGCTGCATAATGCTCTGCATATGGCAAAATGGAAATCATTCAGTCCAAGGCCTGTTATAGTACTATTGTAATTATTAATTTTACTGTATTGTTTTTTTCATGTTGACTACACATTCTGCATATGCTCAATGAATCACTGGAAATATATGTTTTGTAATTAAATACTGAAGAAATTGTAGATTATTTAATTGTGCATCAATGCAAGGATGGCCTCAACTGTGCCTAAGAGAGGAGTTTCTTTCAAATGTGAGTGCCTGTTAAAGATACCACAGTCAGTGATACAAATTATAGAACCTGGAGCATGATGGGTTCAAATGAATTCACTGGATGTGTTAAACCATATATGACTTTCGCATCTTCTGCCTCGAATGTTCCTGATGAAATAAGAAAAAAGAACAACCAACAAGCAAATTCAAAAGTATACATATTTCTGCCACACTAACTAAACATGAGAGAGAACACCTTTTTTTTACTTACCAAACACCCTGCCCCAGATAATGAGTCTGCCACCATAATTTTTGTCAATGCAGTAAGGACTTCTACCTGTTATAAAAATCATCTATGAGACCAGTAATTTCATATATAAGAATACATGCTATTGAATTATGAAGGGAAATCTTCATCGTTAGCATCAATTTATAAACGAAAAAAAAAAATAAATTAAAAGGTAGCTAATCCACCACTCCTAATATGCTGTAATTGTTTCTTTCTTGTTATCTTTCTACTTAGATTCAAACATAGTAATTAAATGTGTCACACCCAAATACATTTATGCACAACCATCTCATTAATGGCTTTCAGCTGTCTCTATCTTCTATTCCATATAGAACCACAGAATCAGATAGGCTGGAAAACACTTTTAAAACCATCAAGCCCAACCTTTACCCCACCACTGCCAAGACCACACCACTAAACCATGTCACTCTCTGATCCTGCCTTCATTATGATTAATTAACGTCAGTGTGAGGGAAACTGATCCTCCTATCTGTTTACTGGGGAAATAGATTTGTATATAGTATAGGTCTTCTATCAAAAGTATGAGCAAAGAAACATTGATTACATATCCCCAAGTTTGTGGAGACTGTCTGGAGAAACTGTACAGCACTTGATCAGCTCCAGGGCAATTCTGCTTAACTCTGATCAGGGTCAAGGGATTAGTTTGGATTTACAGCACAGCAAACAAGAGCAAAGTGTGTCCCTCCAGGATTACCAGTACTTGTGCAAATTTTAAGGATTAGACACTTACAACATTGCAGTCTTTTTAAAAGGTCTACACAGTGCCATAAACACTTTACACTTGGAGGATATAATAAATATTAATAACATCCTCTGTACCAATAATTGCGTTTGAGTCTGTTTCCAATTATTTTGTTCTTCCATTCCCCTATTACTTTTTTACTTGTTATCTCTGCACACTGAATTACCTAAGGATATCTATGAAATCCACTTCTATTCCTCTTAAATGATCATGACATTTTTCAGTATGCAATGGAGTTATTAATCAAATTGAAATATGCAGTACGGTCTGGAATGCCTCTGAATATTGATGAAAAATCAATCATCGTGCATTTGTGTGAAGTGAGATTTTTCAATAATTCAGAAAGCTGAAACCAAATTCCATTAAAACATTCAACAGTTCTTCTTTTAAAAGGTAACCGTGCCTTTTCACACATTCATTGTTTGAAGTTGAATGAAAAAACATGTTAGTGATTGACAAGTTGATGATGTCTTAGTAGTCACGGAAGGATGAGATATTTTTCTGTCACTCTTCATATCTAGAAACATTGAACTGTTTTGCTGAAAGTCTTAAAATATCCTGGCTTAATTTCTGCTCAGTAATCAATCCTAAATGTAAAAACTTTAAATATCAGTTAAAAAAAAAGTTTTAAAATACTGTAAAATTTATACAAGGACTTTTAACAAGGACTATTTTTGAAGCAACAATCAAAATTTAAATCCTTCTGTAAAGCTACTTTTACAATACAATTCCAGTCCCTAATTATTATTAAATAAATAGTGACCACTAAAATAAACCCACTAAGGAATAAGAGTTTACACTTTTAGCTTACCATGATGAAGTCTGTGATGACTGGGAGTATTAAGAATCCACTCCAGAGGCCCAAGGTTGGTAACAACCTTGAAAAAAAATAATGGTTCCATGAATTTGAAAATACTGTATAATATGAAGATGGAGGGGAAAGGGGGAAAGGAAGTGCATAAAGAGGACATTAATCTTAAGAAGAATTGCATAAAAGAACAAGACTTCAATTTTTTTGCCTGAACCATTTCACTGTTATAAGAATTTCACTAACATTTTTTATCCATATCCATTGGCATTGCTTGGGATCCAGAGTAACTTTAAGATCCCAATTATGTGAACAGTTTGCATCTGCAAATAGCTGGCACTGACCCAGAAACAAGTACTCCTTCCTCCTTCAGTAGCTTTGATTGTTTGTTTCTTGTATCAGTGACCTGATTTTACCACAGCACAAATGCAGAAACAGAAGCAAAAAATGCCCTAATTTGGGAACTGATGCAAGTTAAAACTAATTTTGTTTTGTTTTTCTAAATTAGTTTCACTGGATCAGGTCCTGAATCTGATCCAACATGCAGTCACAAATAAACTGGCATGACTCAGGCATGAGAAGAAAGAAGAACAGCATAAACTCATAGTAGAGCATTGATGTAAGGCAATGATTCTGCAGTACAGAAAATCCAAGCCTTCATCATCTTTGTACCAGACCAAAATATAACAGAAAGTGTTGACTGCCATAAAAACATTCTAATGAGTCAAACTTTGTCAGAAAATGCTGATGAATTAAGTTTGTGTCACCAGGGTTTATGGCAAACCAGGTACTCACCTGTTTTATGGAGCCATAGGAAAGCCAGCACTAGCTCTAAATATTGTGCTTTGGTTAGCTCAACAGAAGTGTGTGGATACCAAAACACAGCAACCTTTGCTTAATGCCAAACACAAAATCATCAGTCAGAAATAGATGCAGTCACTGGATGACCAAAAAGTGTTTCTATTCAAGATATAGCCTAAAATTGTATTTATTCACTGTATCTGATTATGACCATAATGTCTTGCAATTGAGACAAAAAAAAAAAGGCAGCTAAATAAAAATGCTTAGACCTTAAGAAACAAAACTAAGAACCTATCACTTTGTCTTTTACAGAATTTAATAAGTAAATTTAACACTCATATTGTTGAAGTGGGTGACCTGTAATATAATAATAGAGATAATATTGGCAAACAACTCACTAAGGAGACAAACCATCATTACTTATGACAGCAGTCCCATCATCTAAATAAATAAAAGTACAAGGATTTTTATTAACTTCAGGTTTATGGAGAAAAGTCTAAAATACTCCAGTTCCATTTATATTTAATTCACACGTGTGAAGATCTGGACTCAAAAAGTAGATATAGGGCATTCTTCAGAAGTATTTAAATTTTTATGAATCAGGCAAATATCAGAATAAAAGGAAAAAATACATTTTGCTCATTTTTGTCTTTAGCAAAAGCTAAAAGAATTTCTACTTAATAGGTTAAGTAAAGCATATCTGTAATTAAAGGAGTATATAAATGAGTAAATTCCTTAGAGATAATCTGGAATATATGTCTCAAAATCCTGCTTGGAAAAACAGACTAGAGGGACAAGTTTGTTTTGTTTAACACAGAAGTTAAGAACAACCTATAGGCCACTATGTATTTCTCAGTTCTCCTTCAAATAAATTCAAGCCTGAAAAGACCACCTAAAGGTGAGAAACAATTCATCATTCATGCTAGCTCCATTTCCCACCTTTCTTAAGCAAAAAATCCCACTGTTCCAAGCTATGTGAGATGTGACCACTAAATGAATTTAATGAGTTGGACGTCAGATTGAACTGCAGCCCAGCACCTGAGAGAGCAGTGATTTACCTATTAAACCACACCTAACTTTGGTCTGCTTGGGTTTAGTATATTGTTAGCTCAGTATTTTAACAATTTTTGTGAAAATAAACCAAGTCTGTGCTAGGAGAGCAGGTAATCACTAAGGAATAGCAGTCTTCACTTTTAGTCTACAGATACAGTAAAATGTCCTTCAAGTCTTCAATATACAATATATAAATTCATATTTAAAAATTAAAATTCATCTTTTCAAAGTCTATATAATACATTGGTATGCTAAAGAAACTTATGCAAAATTTTAAATAAATAATTCTGTCTAATCCTAGAGAAAGTATTTTCTTTGGAAAATGAAACCTCTCTCATCCTTTAAAAATAGACTTTCTTTGAGTGATGACATTTACAAATCTATTGAAATATCTTCTCCATAGCATAATTAGTAATTGATGCCTAAGCCTACTTTGGTTCATTATTCTGTCAAGGTTGCCTCCATTGCAAAGACATACACTATGATGGGAATATCATCTGAGATAACAATCATAACTGCATTACAACCACAGAACTCTGTACCTGACCAAGCAAAAATCCAGCATGCTAAAACTAGCAATTTATAAAATCATCATTTTGACTAAAACACATAAAAAATATTTTTGTCACCAGATAGTCAAAATGGTACAGGGTGCTATTTCTAGAAGCTTCCTTTGCTATCAATAAATTTACTTCTATATATTTAGCACACTCCTAAAACACAAAATCATGCTGTCAGTGGAGAACTTTTTGTGTCAAAAATCTGATCAGTATTTTATAAACATATCTTTTATACATCTATCCATATATCATTCTAATGAACAGAAATACACCTTATCTGGAAAACAAAAATAAGAACTGAAAAACCTCGTAAAGCTGAATGCCAGCAGCACCACATGGCAAAGAACATAATTATTTTGTTGAATTTTTCTGTATTCTGCCACCTTACCTGGGGCAAAACAGGAGTTTTGCAAGATCTTTCACCAAAGTAAATTATCAAGGCCAGGACAGTAAGAAATTTTTTGTCAGGTAAGATTCTGACCCTGTCATGTCAGGCTGACAGGAACTTACTGCAATCACAGTGAAAGGAATGAAATTTGCAGGAATCAACTTGTAACAAAATTTAATGTGGTTTAATAACAGCCTGTTCAAAAGAATGCCTAACAGGCAATGAATAAGGCTAGTGGCAGGTAGTCCACCTACCCATCTACCTTTCAGCAGTCAGCCTACCCTTACTTCTGTCTCCCCATTCTGTCCAGACATTTTCCTTGGATAATGGCAATTGCAAAGTTGCTCATAAGTGTTCATGGTAGCAGTACCCAGAGTTGCAACCAGTCACCAAAGCATGTACACCACTAGGGCTCAGTCATTCAAGACAGCAAAACATTTTTATCTTCAAATAGCTTAGTATTCAAAACAGCTTTTTAGACAGAGATCTTTCACAATGTCCAAAGCTTTGGAAAAAAAAAAACAAAACAAAAACCAAACAACCAACAAACCGAACAAAATCAAAACAGTTTTAAATAAAAATTCTAAAAATTAACAGAATATTTGTGATAAGAACAGCAGAACAGCTCAGGTTTTGTGGCTTGTAATCAGTATTTTCATTAAAAAAAAGGAAAATATTTCTGCTACTATAAGTTTTGTATGCAGTAGAAAGCTTTGCTTCAGACCTTTTTACTGGAAAGTGGTCTCAAAAATAAAATAATAGTGGAAATGTCATTATTCGATATCCCTATTGATTGTACTTCAAACCCTACTTCATATTACTGAAAGGAAAAAGAGTCTGCTTGCTAATATAAAATATTCTTGCTATTTATAGCATCATCTTGCAGTGATCTTGGGAACACCAAAAAAATTGCTACCAATATCTTAAACACTGAAGTACCAAAACTGTTGTCTAACCTTATCTGTGTTTTGACCAGTATGGCTGAGGGGTTTACATTTGTGTTTGTTCCCCTGATACAGACACCTACTGTTTAAATCAATTCCTGTCTCCAACTTTTCTTTCACAATTAACACATCGTGTGCACCTCAATTCCCATGCCAGTGACCCACAGATGAACTGCAGCAGAACTCTTTTCCTGTTTGCTTTGTTTGTTTTTCCACATCCCATAGCCACAAAATAGAATTTTTCACTTGCCAAAACACTTACAAATGGACTCAGTAAACTACCTAAAAATCAGATATGTAGGTATCTTATGTACACGAGTTATAAAATCTTTGTCAGATCTCTCCACAAAACATGCATTTGACTTTCTTTCCTTTTAAAACAAAACAAAATAATAAAATCAAGCAATATATTCCCTCCATTTTTGTTTGGCATCACTAAATAATAAACCAGAATTACTGACAATATTTGAAGAAATTCCAAAAGCATTTTAATAAATAAGGCAGGCTAAAAGCTGCATGCTTAGAAACAGTTTCCATACATTACTGAATAAAATATGCTGGAAGTGAAATCCTCATATATAATGAGAACTAAATGTTTTCTTTTCTATAATGGTAGTTCTTATATAAAGATGTTTCCTTTGTGACAGCAATCCCTAGCCTAATGGAAAAGAACATTATGCAATATCTCTTACGGCATGTAAGCACCTCTGTTTGCGGTCTCAGAGTTTGTCAGCACCAAGGGAAATCTTTATTGCCTGGTACCTGCACCACTTCAATGTAGTTCTTGTTTAAATAATGAGAAAAAATCGTGACATGAAATCCAAGGGAAACTTTACATCTTGTGTAACAACTCCTCCTGTCACCACTACAACATGAATCTTTACTTAACTCTGTTTCAACATGAATGCTAGGAAGGAATGTCAACCGAGTGGAGCAGTCAATGTTACAGTAAAACCGTGTGTATATGAAAAGTTCTGTTTTGTTTTGATTTTTTTTTTTTTCTCTTTGAGTACAAGAAAAGCTGTAGTACAGCATTTCTTTTAATATTATTGTGTCACTGATCTGCAGGACAGGGAGGGTAAATTCATCCCTGCAGCATCACCAAAGGAGCACTCTGAACTTCGGAATTTCTGTTAGACTAGTAGGCAGTAAAACACATATTACTACTGATTTCCTCATCAAAATGAAGATTTTTATACCCAGTATATAAATCGATATCTCAGTCTGGTGGGGAAATTTTAAAAGAAGGCCCTAATTACATTCCCCAGTAGAGGTGCTGTGTTAATTCAGGACAACACACCCATGTGTTTATACAGATGGCTCT